TCAGAAATTCTTACCTTGCAATTCGCATCTTGCTACACGCAAGAGAAGAATTTGGGATGGACGTCAGCTATGTCCAGGAAAGCCGATTCGGAGTCTGGCTTCGTTGTATGAACTCAGCGGACATAAGGAAGCATATTGGACTCGGTCAAACACAACCTACAATGATATCGGAGCAGGCTCTTTCAGGAATCATGAACACATCTCGCATAATACTACTCATCTCAAGATCGAGCCAGCGAGGGACTTGCGGTGCTAGGAGACTCGCGTGACGTTACCGTCTATGGGAGAGCTCTCATGGATGAGCGCGTGCATGAACGCTACGTCGCACTAGAGACCTAGGCTTGGTCAATCATATCATTGAGGAACTAGACTTGGATGGTACAAGCTAGACGACTAGTGCAGAGCGTGCAGCTATTCCTAGAGATAGTTCTCATCGGGCGCTGATGACCGCAGATATCGTACGATCTGCTCGCAGCTACGGAGACTCTTTCCTCGGTTGCTCGCTCTGCGCTCGCCATCGTCAAAGACCGGGTGGAGGATTCTCGTGATAACAGCCCTGAACCTGACACTTACGGGCAGTATGCACGAGCCTCCCTAATCGCGGATTACGTAGAACTGCTTGCGCTGAAACACTCCGTTAGACGCGGGATCGTGGAGGACTTCTTTGCTGATAACCACTGGAATCTTGAGTTGCTTCAGCCATCTGAAGGTGATTTCTCACATTACCCTCGGGAAACGCTGGAGGGGCGCCTTGACGAGGCTCATGACTTAGCTTCTATCGTTTTCGGGCAGATAGAGGAGCGATGCCGCCTGTTATCCCGTCGCTATCCCTTTGCGATCACGGAGGGTTTAGTCTCATTGAAACCTGATCTTGATCGTGAATCATGCCCGTATGTAGCAATGCTCTCACTTACCGTTGCCCATGCGTTCAATGTGGGCTTATCGCATAAACCGGAAGAACTGTTTGAGCATATAGTGACAAAGATCCTAAATGACCGCGGGTTGTTATCTGCCGGAGTCGCGACGCTTCGCAGGTCGAGAGGTTCCTTTGAGAAAGCATTATGCGCAGCGTGCAATCAGGTTGGGCTCAAGTCAGTGCCGAATGCGGCACCGAGATATGAAAAAGGGCACGACGAAGGCGTGGACGTTCTTAGCCATATGAGTTGGGAAGAAGATCCACGATCGAGTGCTTGGGTATTCATCGGTCAAGCCACAGTAGGGAGAAGCGATATCTGGTCAAAAAAATCAATGAGCCGAACCCAGGGAGATGGGCTCAATTCATTTGCATTAGGAATCGACCATTGCCATTTCTGGCCGTGCCTCATCATGTAGAGCGACAAATGATGGAGAAGCTAGCCTTCGACGGCGTAGTGCTGGATAGAATTAGGCTGGTGAGATTCAAAAACGAGAACGACCGTGAGGAGCGCGAGATCATCAGAGCCGTAGCCCAAGAGTGCGTCGAACCACTCTCAGGTTAGAATTGACTATAGGCCAGAGGCTCGCAAGTATAACGGAAAATCGAATGTATAAACCGTTGCGCTTTATTGACCTATTTGCAGGACTCGGAGGCTTTCATATTGCGCTCAATGAGCTGGGGCATCGCTGCGTCTTCGCCTGTGAGGTTAATGAGGATCTCGCTGCTATTTACGAGAAAAATTTTGGAATCCGTCCATTCGGTGATATCCGCACTCTTGATATCTCCTCGTTGCCCGCTCACGATATTCTCTGTGCCGGATTTCCCTGCCAGCCATTCTCCAAAGCCGGTAGTCAACAAGGTCTCAATGCCCTCATTGGGGGGATTTAATCGACTACGTCATCCGCATTCTTAGGACCCACACGCCACGCTACTTCATCATGGAGAATGTTTCCTAACCTCATACGGCACAGGCAAGGGAAGACTTGGAGCGAGATCGCGGGCAGGCTCCGCCGAGCCGGCTACAGCGTCCAGGATCGAGTACTATCACCGCATAGCTTCGGCGTACCCCAGATTCGCAAACGGATGTTCATCGTTGGCCAGCGTGGTGGCCTAAACGGGTTTTCGTGGCCATCTCCATCACAAAAGCATGAGCTTTCCATAAGCTCAGTTTTGGATGAGAATCCTGAGGATGCTCGGCCGCTCCCTAAACGCTTCGTATTGTACTTGAAGGCATGGCAGCAATTCCTAGACCGCTTTCCCAAAAAAGAGGAGTTGCCATCCTTTCCCATTTGGGCGATGGAGTTTGGAGCTACCTATCCGTACATTAACAAGTCACCCGCTGGAGTAGGGTTCTCAAAAATAGGCTCATTCAAGGGCAGCTTTGGGGTCTCGCTTCGCGATATAAACGCAGAGAATATTCGTGCGGCGTTGCCCGGATATGCCCGTGATTCGGCGCTTTGCTTTCCAAAGTGGAAGGTCGACTTCATACGGCAGAACCGAGCCTTTTACAAACGCCATAAGTCATGGATTAACAAATGGCTCCCCTCAATCCGTAGTTTTGACCCGAGCTTTCAAAAGTTTGAATGGAATTGCAAGGGAGAGGAACGGGACATCTGGAAGTACGTCATTCAGTTTCGTGCTTCAGGCATTCGTGTTAAGCGTCCGACGACGGCTCCCTCCCTCGTCGCCATGACAACAAGCCAGGTGCCCGTTATTGGATGGGAATGTCGGTATATGACAGTTCAGGAAAGTAGCCGCCTTCAAAGCATGGGGCACTTGCCGCATCTTCCGTCAACCCAGACGGCTGCATTCAAAGCTCTTGGGAATGCGGTCAACGTTTATGTAGTGCGAAAGGTCGCTGAACAACTACTGATGAATGAATAGCTATGGATATTTGTTTGGTGGCGATGCCGTACGCAAGTGTCGAACGACCTTCGATTGCGCTTGGCTTGCTGAAGGGAAGCTAGGAGAGACGCAACTGGAAACCACGTGTCTCTACGCGAATCTGACCTTCGCCGAGAGAATCGGCGCAGAAAACTATAACCTGCTCCAGTTTATAAAACCCAAAGATCTAGCCGGAGAGTGGACTTTTTGCGATGCTCTATTCGGGTCTAATCGGCCCGAAGACGACTACCTCGATTGAGTGCCACTTCCACCACTGCCGCACCTTCCACGGCTCGTACGGCAACAAAACCGACAACCCACGGCGCAGCTATATCATGCACCTCATGCCCGGCCACACCCGTCGCTTAGGCGACAATTGGAACGAGCGCATGGGCAATGTCGAAACCGTGGGCGTGGGCGAAATTGTCGAGGGCCGGACTACCCAGAGCTGATAGCCGTGTAAAAAGTTCCCTAGACAAAGGGAAAGGTGCCGTTGTACCCCCTAGGCCGCGACACGTGCCAGATACCCTCGTACATCGGCGTCATCTGGTAGTGGCACACCACATTGCTGCGCTCCATATCGTCGCGCTCCTTGGCCCCTTGGTGCGGTATGTGGCTCAGAAAGACGACGCATCGCCCGCCTTGGGGTAGAGGACGACGTGCTTCTGGGCGTCACACCAAGCCTCGAATTTGGGGCGGTCCATGGGGTAGAGATGGGGAGGCTCCTGCAAATGGCGTTTTCGACGTATTTGAGGTGGCCATCTCCCGGCCCGTTGTCCTGCAGGTAATAGGTCACATTGACCCCTACGGGCTGGGCCGCCAAGCGGTATTGCTCGACTTGGCGCTTTTCCTCCCAATAGCCATAAAAATCCATGTGCCACTCTTGCAGGTAGGGTCCTGGATTGATGTGCGCCCGCAGGCTGCGTAGCTGGCATTGCTTGCCCATCATGCCCTCCAGATAAGGACGCACGTTCGGATGGCTCACCAAGGGGGCGAAGGTTTCAGGCTCGCGGTCCAAGAGCGAATCAAACCACATATTGCCCACGGCGTTCAAGCCTTCCTCCCAGCCCATCTTGCGCGCGTGGTCCACCCGCTGACGCACCAATTCCGTCTCTTGAGGACTCAAGGCCCCTTCGATTAAGACATAGCCGTCGCGCTCCAATTGATCCAGCTTATCCGCCATATCCTGCATTATTTTTAGTCTCCTTTTCCAGATACTAAAGAACCGGCCCGCTCGTACCCATCACTTTCTTAGCAGACGGTGGCGGTTTGCATGGCCGCAAGCAAGTCGGCCGGGCTCATCAGAACACCCAAAATGGAGTGCGCGCTACCCCGTGGTATTTCCAGCCCCGTGGCGGTAGCCGTTATGCCGTCAAAGTCGCGCGTGGGGTGTACGGGGATCTTGCGATTGGGTCGATCGATGCTGAGCTGGGCATACAGGGTGATCCCCAAGGGGTTTTCCAAAATCACTTTATTAGGGTCCAGGTCGAGCCTAATCTTGCCCGTGGCTCCTGCGTCACTCGTCCTGAACCCGTCGAGGAAGAGACCGATCGGATAGCCCAGTGGACCGTCGAAGAGGTAGCCTCGCGTGGCGCTGCCGGGGAGCAGAAAATGGGTCACCAACTCCGCTTTGCAAAGGAGGCGTTGGTCTGGCACCGTCATGTCAAAATTGTCAAACGCCGGAGTCTTGAGACCGAGCTGTCGGCCAAGTGCGGTGCCGTAACCGTAAACACATCCAGTGAACGACTCGCCCCACAACTCCAGCTCGGTGGTCTCGCAATCGAGGTGATGACCCTTGTCGGCTAGCTGCGACGAGAACGAGTCGGTCAGGTCCTGCCTGTACTGCTCGGGGTCGATCCCGTCATACCACTCGGCGCGGGGCTCGAGAACGCGGTCGTCACCGAGTTGTTGCCTAGCGTAGGCGAGGATTTCCCGCCCCCCGTCGAGCTGGGCGTAAATCGCATCCGGCTCCAGTTGACGGATCGCCGCGCGCCAACGTCGTTCGCACAGCAACTCGCGCTCGAGATAGATCCCGGCGTTCGTGTTGCGCAGGGTTTTCGGGATCGGTGGCGGCCAAGTCGCTGTAGAGCATTGAGTGAATCAGATAGACGATCTTTCTCACCTTCATTGGCGCACCCTCACTGTCTGGACTCCATTATCGCTAACACCGTCGCTTACCCTCTCTCACGCCCGCCAGAGTTTATTCGCCATGTTCCGCATTATTTCCAGTCTCCTTTTCCAGTGGGTCGGCACTATCCTCACTCGCTTCGACGGTGGATTGGTTGAGGGGGGTTAAGGCGTCTTCCCAAGGGTTGGTGACGTCCACGTCTAGGTCTGCGAAGTCCCCGACGTTCCGCGTCGCAACAGAGAGGCCATGAACTTTGGCTGTCCCGGCGATCAGCGCATCCCCCAAGTCCAGCACGCGACCGGAGCGATGCGCCTGCGCCCGGAATTGGGCAGCCCGCTCTGCCCCCGTCCTCTCCAAGGGCAGGATGCGGTCCTCATACGCCGAAATGAACTCTGACAGCACCGACCGCAACCCGTCGCGACGTGGTCCCGGCGGCAGCAGTTGCAAGCCAAACTCCAGCTCATGCAACACTATCGCGGATAACCACAAGTCGTCTTGTTCGGTCAGGAATGCGAGAACCCGCGGATTTGGCGCGTCTTTTGTCAACTCCGAGACCACATTGGTGTCTAGCAGAAACCCGCTCACCCTGTGTCTTCAGACGCGAATGGGATTTCCCGCCGGGATTCTCTATTTCTGGTGATCTCGAGGTTCGCGCCACGGGGCATGTTGGCTACCAACCACTGGCCCATGGGTTGGCGCTGCGACTCTTTCTCGGCCCATACGTGGGCGGGGACTACAACGAAGGACTTTCGCATGCCGATATGTTGAGGCCCTTCCTCTTCGGCGCGACGCAGGACTTCGGACAAACGCGCCTTGGCCTCGGCGACGGTCCAAACGCGATGGGATTCTGAGTGTCGGGCGGTCATAGCTCCTCCAGCTAGGTTGTCGTTATAGTCCAATATAGACTAGCTTAGCCGCCGCATCAATGGATGAAGAGGAAGACATCTTGGGCTACGGCCTGCGGACTAACGAATAAGTCGCTCCCTAGTTGTTCCTGTGTAAACCCCTGCTGCTTCCGTCGCTCCCGTATCCTTTGTCCAAGCTCTGCTGGGTCAATCATTGCGCCGCTCCTTTATTTTGGGTATGTGCAGCATCCTGCCATCAAGCGATGGTTGTTGTTACCTGCACAACCAAAATAGCGCGTTTACCCAGTTGTCGGCATTGAGGAACGCGAAAGTAGGTCAACTGCTGGTTGAGCTTTTCCCCTAGGTCAGAGAAGCGGGCGCTCGTGGCTCCAGGGGCGAGCTGCTCGAAGGCGCGGGCGGCGCGCAACACGGTGCGGTCCTGGCGCCAGCCGCCGATGATCTGCAGGCCCACGGGCAGGCCATCGACGCGGCCGCAAGGCACGCTGGCAGCGGGCAGGCCAGTGAGGTTCACCGGGTAGGTGAAGGCCGTCCAGCTCAGGTAGGTGGTGTCGCGGCCGGCGATCGAACCGGGGTGATCGTCGCCGGCGGCAAAGGCGGTGACCGGCAGCGTCGGCGTCAGCAGCAGGTCGTAGCTCTCGTAGAACTCCCGCCATTGGTGGTAGTACGCGTTGCGCTCTATATAGGCATTGGCCACGTCTGTGCCGCGAAACCCGAATCCCCTCTTCGACGACGGCGCGCAGGCCCGGATCGAGGCGATCGGCGATCTGGTCGAACTGGTCGCGGAAGGAAGCGGCGAAAGCCGTTGACCACAGGACGTGGATGAGACGCCACGGATCTTCGCCGGCCGGGTGCGCCTCCTCGATGGTGCAACCGAGATCCGCGAAGCGACAGGCCGCCGCTTGTGCAGTCTCAACGACCTGAGCATCGACGGCCGCGTACCCTAGGTCGGGCGACCAAGCCACGCGCAGCCCGTCCACGCCAGCCTCGATATCGTCAAGCGCCAACGGTTCGGCCGGCATTGAGGTGCGATCCCGCGCATCGGGACCGGCCATGACCTCAAGCATCCGCACGGCGTCGCCGACGGTGCGGGTGATCGGCCCGGCGTGGGACAGGGTCTCCACCACGCTGGCCGGGTACTGAGGCACTCGTCCCCAGGAGGGTTTGAAGCCAAAGGCACCCGAGAAGCCAGCCGGGATGCGGATCGATCCAGCGCCGTCCGTGCCCTGGGCCAGCACGCCCATGCCAGCGACCACGGCCGCCGCGGCTCCGCCGCTAGAGCCGCCCGGCGTGCGTCCGTGCCGCCAGGGGTTGTGGGTTGGTCCAACGACGCGATTGCCCGAATCGCCCTTCCAGCCGATCTCCGGCGTATTCGTCTTGCCGAGCAACACCATGCCGGCATCGCGTAGACGTTCGACAAGGGGCGCGTCAAAGTCCGGGACCCAGTCGGCGGTCAGCAGCGACCCCCGGGTGGTGCGGATCCCACGCGTCGCCGTCAGATCTTTCAGCGAGCCGGGTATGCCGGCTAGGGGAGGCGGGTCCTCGGCACCGGCAAAGGCGGCTTCGGCGGCACGCGCCTCGGCCAAGGCCCGCTCCGGCGTGACCGTGACGAAGGCGTTGAGCTTGGGGTCGAGCGATTCGATTCGGCGCAGCACCGCCTCGGCGACCTCCACCGGAGACAACTCGCGGAGCTCGTACAGGCGGCGCAGTTCAACGCCGGAGAGATAGCACAGGTCGGTGTCGTTCATGCTTCAAGCACCACTTCTCTGCCGAGACGGGACGACTCCATACACGCCGTCAGGACCGCCACCAGATGGCGGGCGTATTCAGTCGTCACCGGTGGCTCCGTTCCCGCGTCAATCGCCTCGACGAACGCGCCCAACTGCCGCGTCGTGGTGTCGTGATTCTCGGCTACTTCGACCTGTTCCCAGTCCCCGTCCCGGCCGATGAAAAGATCGTCCCTTCTCGATTCGATCCCCTTGCGCAGTTGGATCATGCCGTCCGTGCAGACGAATTCCGTGCTGTAACGCCGCCCGCCCGTCCTCCACCACACGTGAATCAGGGTCGAGTACACGCCGTTGTCGAATTGCAAAAGCGCCATGGCCACGTCGTCCGCTGAGAATTCGAAGAAACGGCTGTCGATCAAGGCCTTGACGGCGACGACGCGACTGCCCGTCCACCAGCAGGAGCGATCGATCAGGTGGATGCCGTTCTGATACCACAAGCCCCCGTGCGTCGCCTTGTCGAGGTACCAAGCCGGCCTGTTGGGGCTGAAGGGGCGGTAGGCTTCGTCGCAGAGACAGACCAAGTCGCCCACGGCCTGCTCGCGCAGCAGCTTCTTCACGGCCCGGTTCGTTGGCGAGAAGCGGTGCATGTGGCCGACGGAGAGCTGTTTGCCGGTCCGCCGCGCGGCCGCGATCATGGCGTCACACTGCTCCACGTTGACGGCCATCGGTTTTTCCACCAGCACGTGTTTGTCGGCCTCCAAGGCGGCTACGGTCACTTCGCAGTGCAGGCCGTGAGGCAGGCAGACGATGACGAGGTCAACCCGCTCGTCCGCGAGCAGATCCTCATAGGAGGCGTAGCCTTGGCAACCGTACTCCGCGCAGACGCGGGCTAGACGTTCCGCGTCGGTGTCGGCGACCGCCTGCAAGTGCGTAGATTCAAGGGCCGCCACCGCTCGCAGATGTCCCCCAGCTACGCTGCCAGCACCGATGATTCCGACTCCGTGCATCTCATCCTCGATTCAGAAGGATAGGAAGTTTAAACGGGCGTTTGAACCTTGGTCAACTCCGCTGGACGAGCTTCTCCCTACGGTTTCTGAGCGCCGTTCGTCTCGACGTACACCGAAACAGCGACTGCGAACAGGGTTATGACAGCCTGTTTTTCTTAGCACCGCCGAAGCAGAGGTTGGCGCAGGGTGCCGGCAGGTGGATCTTGCCGATCAAGGTGCCGTCGGGGGCAAAACAATGCACGCCGTCGTAGCCCTCGCCCGCCCAGCAGGCCCCCGACCACAGGTTGCCATCCACATCCGTGCGGATACCATCCGACGAGCCAGGCCCCATGTCAGCGAAGACGCGCCCGTTTGTAATGTGGTCGCCATGGACGTGTCGAAAAACGCGGATGTGAGTGGGGTATTTCGGGGCCGTCGGAGCGCCCGGTATCGACGATGTAGAGCAACGACTCATCCGGGCTGAAGCAGAGGCCATTTGGCCGCTGGAAGTCTCCTGCCACCACCGTTGCTTGCCCCGTGTCCGGATCGAGACGTACACGTTGGCGGCATTCTCAAATGCTATCCCGATGCCCCTCGTAGTCCAGCAGAATGCCGTAACCGGGGTCTGTGAACCAGATTGATCCATCCGACTTCACCACGATGTCGTTGGGGGCATTCAACGGCTTGCCCTCGAACTGATCCATCAACACGGTGATCGAACCGTCGTATTCCGTCCGGGTGACGCGGCGCGCGTCGTGTTCGCACGACAGCAATCGTCCCTCGCGGTCGCGCGTGTTGCCGTTGGTGTTGTTGGATGGCTTTGCGGAAGACCGAGACGGCACCGGTCTCTTCTTCCCACTTGAGAATGCGGTTGTTGGGGATGTCGCTAAACAGTAGATAGCGGCCGTCGCCAAACCACACGGGGCCTTCGAGCCAGCGCCCACCGGTCCAGAGCATTTCGAGGGCGGCATTTGCCAGCTTGTACTTTGCGAAGCGCTCGTCTAGCACCTCAATGCGGCGGTCTGGATATCTCACAAGTTCCATATCTTCTTCCTGGTCAAATTAACTGACTGCGGCGAATTGCTGATGAAGTTCTGGTTTTGTCCGACCTCAAGCAAGGTTTGAGCAAAAGCGGCCAAATCGCTTGATCTCTTGCACAAATGAATACTATCTTTGTGCAGGTATTTTACGTGCCACGGATCGGTCGGCAGATCGCGTTACTATGAATGTAGGGTGAACGTCCGTTCGAATACTTCTCCACGCCAACAATACAACTAACCTGCAACATCTACAAGGAGATCGCTATGACTACTCAGGCCATGCCCCATGAGCCTTCGTTGAAAATGGGCGAGATGAGCGACGAGAAGTTAGCAGACTTCTTCTTCGCCAAGGACTTTACAGAGATGAACCAGCGGGACGAACGCCCACGATCCCCAAAGAGAGATGGAAGCTAACTCCCACCAACTCGAGTTCATTTGGGGCCGGGCCTCGCCGGAGCGCGCCAGCAAAAGGTGGACGTACTATGGTGGACCGGGATTTGCGACATCGACCGCATGGCCGAATTGGGCGCGGCGGGAACCTGCCTTGCTGCATCGGTGGGACCGCTACCATCCGCGCCACGGTTTCATGCACGGGTGCGCGCCGTCAACCAAGTTCCTGCTGGACCCACGGCGTTCCCTATCTCCCGAGAACGGCTACAAATCTTAAAAGAGGCCGCCTACCGGGAAGTGCATTGAGAATATCGCTAGTCTTCGAGTCCGTTGCCGCCGACTCTGCTGGTACTCGATCTCAACCCCACACGGTGTCCCGACAAATATCTCTCCGTATTCGGCCGCAGCATCCCGCTACGGCGCAGCGCTGACAAAGCTTTTTTTGCAATTTGTTGCCGACCCGGAAGTTGATGTTCAGGGAAATGGCCAGAGAGCGGAAAAATACCGCCCTACAAGAGGCGGTTGCCAACGTGCTCCGAATGGAACGCAAAGCGCCAAACAAGCACGCTTACTGATCTAGAGTGGGGCGCACACTAATAACCTAGCTCCCGCCTGCGCCTTGGACGACCTCATCCCCTGCGAGAATGCCATCGACTTTAGACATACCCTCGTTTGTGGGAGAAGCGAATATGAAGCCCCTCACTGGACCGCCCGACCGGGTCGCTAACCTGTGCGGAATGCTACCACACCACGGTGCCGATGTCAACGCAGTGACGGCAAGTAAACGCACACCCCACCCACCTATAGGTGAAAGGACGGTTGGTCCTTTGGTGCTGATGACAAAGGTAAACCACTTAAATGCCCCAAAGACACCAAAGTCCCGACCACATTGCATCCACCGCACCTATAAGGTCAAGTTGACCCGGCAGAAGCAACCATTACATGGGTGCCATTACCTAATCCAATGGAAAATCTGGCAAAACCCAACTGGAGGTTTCACTCCTCGATGCAAATACCTGCGTCCGTAGAAGATTAACTAGAGACTGTTCCCTCTCTCGGGTTATAATGCAGAGTCGATGCGCACCCTCTAAACGCGGCGGAACTCTCCCCTATCTTGCAGGGTGGCTACTCACCGATATAAAGCGAGCCTTCCTCATACCCCAAATGCTGCGGGGAGTCGGCGAATGACCCCCGATACGTCCTCTACCCACAGACAGCAACTCCCATCCATATCGAAGATTCTTACGCGCGACGGGGCCCCGACCAACGTACACCGTACTCCGGGAGATGAAGATATCCATGGGCATTACCAAGTCGGTCCATTCGTCAAATAGCCACCCCCGGAGTCAAAGGCTGGTGCGGTTTTTTTCAGCGGTCAAACGGCCCATACCCCTCGTGCGCGTTCAACCCACAACTGTTGGCAGGGCGAATTGACCCGACCGGTGGCCCCCTGATCCCCACTAAATGGAGCAATCTCCCCCCCCCAGCCGAAAAGCGAGGTGCGAAACTTTTGTATACCCCACGCCAACTTACAAATCCCCGGATGGCGCTGCCATGGCTTAGTGGGCTGGTTAAAAGTCTGATCGTGTGCCCCGGCATGCCCGCGGCGTCACCCCAATTAGGACCACTTGCCCCCTGCGGATTGAAGCAGCGGATGGTGTGGGTGCTCGTGGTCGCCGCGTACACCTTGGTGCCTTCTCGCCCGTCAACCCACAGTATGTGGGGGTTTCCTAGCGTCGTCGGCGCCCAAGTTCGATAGTAAGTCCGTCTCTGTCTGAAACCATCAGGGTCAGGTGGTGGTGCCGTCGGTTCCCCGCAATAACCCAGGCCTGTGTTGTCCTCTGCTCCCACTCCTGGCACCACGACTCCTCCCACTGCTTCCTTAAGTGTCCTAGGCCCCATGTTCTACAAACGATCGTAACTTTCGTACTTGTATCGTCTCATGTCATCCCTCTCGTTTGGGAGCAAATGTCAACTTGATAGACAACTGCGGGACAAGCGACCTGCAAGACAGAAGCAGCTTGAACCCAGAAAAAAGAACTCGGCCTATCATAGCGGTGTTAGCGATTGCACGGGTTCTATATCTGCAAATGCCGACCCGCGCAGGGCCGGTCCGGTGGAGCTTTGAACGCGAGGAGTCGTTCAATGCCAGCCAAACAAAAACGCAGAGGAGGGACATGAAACTAACATACGATCATTTGCGGACTTTTGTAAACATGCTTCGGGCCGTAGAAAATTTCTATCCAGAACAACGCCGGGCCAAATCGCCGCCATCCGCCGGACCCTCCTCCCTTGGTAAGCACTCGCCGACGATCCTCCTCAGAGCTCCCTGAGGGCATTTCCCTACGCCTATACGTTCTCATGAATTCATCATCGACTGGACCTCATCGAGTCGTCGCCGCGGGTGCTCGACACCGAGGACATCTTTTCGCTACGCCACAACTGGGCGGCTAAAACCCAACCAACCACCAACCCCGACCCGCCGGGGCCGAGCATGCGGCCTGCACATCGACAAATGCAAGCAACTCGCGTCCTACACACACCGTGTCCGACCGGCGCTACGGACAGATCGCACCGGGTACTTCGCGAAGCCGTGGCGAAAACCAAGCGCCGAGCCATCGCGGCCCAAGACCCTATGGCCAGGATCTGAGCAAGCGCGTTTTGCTGACGGTACCCGCAGCACGATCATGTCTTCACAACACCATCTCGGCACTCGCGGTCGACCGTGTGTTCAATGGCCAGCTCTGAGTGGCAGCGCTCATTTCCTCGCTACCCTTCCTAACCGGTCTCTCGCCGCGCCTGACCCCTACTACTGTGTGCTGAGCGTCATCGCCTCTGTTCCGCTAGGCAGTGAACGAGCACTTCAGGGCTTTTATCGTGCCGACTTGCGGCGCGCGAACGAGCACTTTTTCCGCTTTTCCGCACCCGGTCCACGAATACTACAAACCACCCACGAGACGCTGGCCCGCCTCGAAGAGCTTTAAATGTATCGCGTGCTGGATGCGCGAGGAGATCCGACCTATGAGCGACGAAAGATCCGATCTCCCCACCGCGGATACACTCACCGCACTGCGCACCGTCGTCCGCGACGCGCTGGTACACGCCTTTACGGATCTGCCTGTGAAGATATGGTACTGGCTGTGCTGATCGGTAACCGGCGCGGCACCACCACGTGCGGCACAGTCGTTGTGTCGTCCTCCGCGCTCCACGATCTGCGGCGGCTGTGCGTCCGGTGATCGACTTTGAATCGCCCGCTGGCCGTCGCCTGATGGCTGCGCGGCCTGAGTACGAGAGGGCGCAGACGGGCACTGTTGCACACCGCCGGACGGTGTATCGCTCTCATCAGTGTCACGGCGCACCCGCTCCTTCCTATGTCTCTTGGCCGACACGGCGTCCACATCGTCGGCCGCACTGCTCGCCTCGCGACGATCACCCTACACTTGGCGGGTCCGCTGCGCGGAGGGGCTATTCTACTGCGCCATTTGCACCTCACACCACGAGGAACGGCCCTTGAAGTGATCAGTCAGCGAGGACGGGTCCACTGGACCCGACGCGCCGAAATCGTCACCCGTGCCGAACTGCCAGAGTTCACTGAAGAGTCGGAACTCTACTGGCGGCCCGATGGCGAACTGTGGTGCATCGTCCGCGCCAACAACGCCTCAATGTACTGGTCCCAACCACCCTATACGGCGTGGGAAGGGAGCGACTTGCAGGTCAAATGCGACGCGCCGGTAATTTGCCGGACCGCCGGCAGGGAATACTTGGCCGGTCGCGTCCGCCTTCCCGGCGCAGGTTCCAGCGACCATCCGACCCAGTTCCAAGGCGGCGAGTGGGAGGGTGTCGGCAGCGGCACCACGGGCCTCTACTACCTCACCAAGGGCAAGGCCGAACTGATCCGCTACTTCTCGCAGGGTGGCGACGCCTCTTATCCAGGTCTGGTCTCCCCCGAGCCCGGCAAGTTGGTGATCTCGTATTATTCCGATGTCGCCTATTGGACGGGTTTGGTCAAGCCCCGGCATTTTGCCGAGTTCCGCTACAAAGCCTCGGAAAGCGATATCTACTTGGCCGAAATCGAGGTTCCCACTACCCGTTCCCAAACCCGTAGGTAACCGCCAGCTTGAACCGCCGGCCTTTGGAACTATGGGTCAAGCCGTCGTGGGCGTGTTCTCGGTTGACCAAGGGCGGGTCGGCATCGGTCAGATTCAGCGCCGAGAAGGTGAGGCCGATCCCACCGGACAAGTTGCACAGCAAGTTCAGGTCCCATGTGAAGAAGGGATCAATCGTGCGGAAGTCGGAGTCCACCGCCTCCCGCTGGTCTTCGTAAGACGAGATATAGTTCAGGTGCTGGACTAGGCTGTAGCCCCCCCGGTGATAGCCGGTGGCGAGCCGCCATTTCCACTGCGGAATCGGCACTGCAATCGGAATGGACTCGTTCAGGTAGCCGGCGGCCTCCTGTGCCGGTTGGAGTTCAAGCCCGTTCAAGAGCAGTGCCCGCACATCGTACTCGCGGGTGTAGGTGCCATCCAAGCCACTGGAAAGTTCGCCCCGCCCCGGACCGCAAACCGAGTGCTCAAGTGCCAGTCGAAACCAGAGGTCTTGAGGCCGGGCCAATTGACGAGGTTGACCTGCACCCGTTCGATGGCGCGGGATCGCAGGTGTGCCGGTGCTATCCGTCGCGTCAGCCCAGCGTAAAGTGGTCGTAGGAGCCGGTGACTTCAAAGCCGGCAAACTCGTCGCGGGTCACGAAGTTGGCCACCCCGGCCACCGCATCTGAGCCGTAAATAGCCGAGGCTCCCTCCTTGAGTACCTCAATGCGGTCAATGGCGATGGAGGGAAAGGCGTTCACATCGACGAAGCGTCCGCCGATCAGGCGCGCCGGGACGTAAGTCTGGCGGCGGCCATTGAGCAGCACCAAGGTCCGCGAAGCCCCCAAGCCGCGCAGGTTGACATTCGCCACAGTCTCGGGCACAACATTGCCGGCGATGGCATTGTACCAACTATTCGCCTCGCCGACCACGCCGTGGCTCGCGCCCAAATTCTTGAAGAAGTCAACCGGCTGCGGCGACCCCTGTTCTGCCATCTTTTCCCGGCCGACCACGGTGACCGCATAAGGCAGGTTGATGGGCGATTCCTCAAAGGCCGTGCCGGTCACAGCCGTCTCTTCGAGGAGGAGCGCGGAGGGCTTTATCCGCAACTCAACGGTTGCGGTCTGCCCAGCTTCTACCGCGACGGTCGTGGTCGCGAGCAAGTAGCCGATCAACTCGGCCTTTACTTCGTGCTCGCCCACCGGCACGTCGGGAATAGTGAATCGGCCCTGCGCGTCCGAGACGCACATCCAGGGCCGGGATGTAAACCAAAGCCGCTTCCAGCACGTCTCCACTGTCGTCGTCAACCACCGTGACGACGATGGTACCCGTCGCTTGCGCCTGCACCGACGCGGGCCAGAGCAAGGTCGCGCCGACCAGCATCGCAAGACACGCATTCCAAAGTCTCATAACAACCCCCTTGTTAAGAGTTCGTTTTTGGAACGTTTGCTTCGTCGACCAATCAGTGTGATCGCGCACTTCGCCGCGCAGCCCTATCCAGACGCAGACGGCCATTCCCAAGATAACAATAGCGAACGGGAGGCCGGTTGCGAGCGAGGCTGCCTGCACGAATTCAGCCCTCCGCCAAGTAGGAGTGCGATAGCGACTAACCCTTCGATAGTACACCAGAAGACCCGTTGCGCTACTGGAGCGTCAACTTTGCCGCCGGCTGCGATGGTGTCAAGAATCAACGAACCGGAGTCCGACGAGGTGACGAAAAATACAATGGTCAGCAGGATCGCCACCGATGAAAGCAGCTTCGTCAGTGGGAGTTGGTCGAACATTTTGAACAAGGCGATTTCCAGCTTCCACGCCGCAACATTCTCGGTTACACCGGTATAGCCCTCAACGGTGTGCTGATAGAGAGCCGTGCCGCCAAAGGTCCCAAACCACAGCAAACACAACACCATCGGCGGGATGAGCACGAAAATTATGAATTCGCGCACTGTGCGACCCTTGGAAATGCGGGCGATGAACGTGCCGACAAAAGGTGCCCAAGCAAACCACCAGGCGAAGTAGAATGTCGTCCAACCGTGCAGGAAATCCACGTCCTCGCGCCCTACCCAGTTGCTGAGCGGCACAATCTTGACGAGATAGCTACCGAGCGCAGCGAACATACTGCGGAAAATATAGAGCGTCGGCCCCAGAACAATAATCGCCAACAGCAACAACAACGCGAGAATTATATTGAACTGGCTGAGGCGCTTGATCCCGACATTAATACCCGCCAGCACCGATGTCAGCGCGATGGACGTAATCACCACAATCAGCACTACCATGGTGGTATTAGTCGCGGGAACACCAAACAGATAATTCAAACCGGAGGTTACCTGCTTAACCCCCAAGCCGAGCGAGGTCGCAAGCCCGAACAGACCAGCGAAGATGGCGAACGTATCGATGATATGGCCAGGCCAGCCCCAGATGCGGTCGCCGAACAAGGGATAGAACGCCGAGCGAATGGTGAGCGGCAATCCCCGGTTGTAGGCGAAGTATCCGAGAGCTAGTCCAACGAGGCCGTAAATGCTCCAACCGTGTAGCCCCCAGTGAAAAACGGTTGCCGCGATGCCGACGGCAGCGGCTTCTTCTGTTCCGGCGGGGATGCCAAGCGGCGGCTTTTGGAAGTAGTAGAGCGGCTCCGCCACCCCGTAAAACAGCAGACCGATGCCCACGCCGGCCGCAAAGAGCATGGCAAACCAAGTTGCGTTAGAGTATTCAGGTTTTGCATCGGCCCCCCCGAGGCGCACCTTGCCGAGAGGCGAACATGCCACATATAGGCAAAAGAGCAAGGTGAGGTTGGCAGCAATCAAGAAAAACCAATCGAGGTTTATCGTGATCCACTCGCGGGTATTTTTTGAAAACTTCCGTCGCGGCTTCCTGGAAGACGAGTGACCCGACGACAAAGACGACGATGGTAATACTGGAGATCGAGAACACGGGAGTCAGATAGATATCTAAACCGAATAGCTTGCGGTACTCCTCGTCATGCGGCAGTTGTGGCTGTTTTCCTTCTCGATTCGTCGGCGACATGGCTATAGTGTGGCCCTTCCTTTCTGGGCGTCGTCGCTTTAGAGCAACGCCTATTTCAAAAGCGGATGGTAAAACGGGGTTGGCTCGTCTGGAGGCTTTCGAGGGAAAAGGCCAAACCGTTGCCGGCTCAAAATCTCCTGGA